AATGTTGCTCAGTATTGAAAGGTACGTACAAATGTAGAAGCAACCTGCATTACGTAGAAGGCTATGATTTAATTTATGGCCCTATATTTCATGCTTGTACTGTCATTTGCATGTTTGGTACGCTGCAAGTGACTGATACAGCAAAACATTACTAGTAATGTGGCTTTACAGTTGGTTTTTACTGTAAATGCAGTTGTTGGGTTGGATTGATGCCAGTCAGTGTCAGTGTCAGTGTACATGTATTGTACAAATGAGGTTGTTTATCAGTGCATTGATTAGTTTCCATCTTCATTTGTATAATTACACTTTAACCAGTACAGACAAAAGTGACATTCTAAGCCTGTCAATCACAACTCTTCAAAGCTATTTTGTTCCAYGGGAGTCTATTTCTAATGCTGGCTATCTTGAATTTTGAATTACTGTAGCATTCCAATCAACAGAAAAACACATGCAAACTTGATTAAAATGTATGGCTTAAATATGCTTTCAAAACATAAAGAGATACAGCTGTTGTAGCTACATGTAGTTGCCTATTGTTCAGCCTGGATGAACAGCCTTTTGAAAACATTGTGCGCAGTAGGTTCTTTGAATTCATTCAATATATCTGTGAAATATTATGTRAGAAATTGCACTAAATAATAGACAATTAAAAGGATTTCAACTTGATTTGCCTAATTTAGTTTGCAAACCATTTCATGGATATATTGATAGCACTCTATGCTTAATGTATTCAACTTTGAAATATTACAAGTCATATTTGGCATGAATGCTTTTTAATTTTGCCRATACAAAAAGAGCTCATGGTTGAAAGTTGGTGAAGTGCCAGTCTATTGTATGTCAAGGTCAAGGTTCACTTCCTGGCTGATAGAAAAATTTCAGAATTTGTTAAAGTATTTTAAAAGAGTGTACATGTACATGTATTAGATCAAAATTCAAAATTTTTGCCAAGGTCCATTCAAGCAATGATATATTTTGTGCTTTTACATTGTATTTATAAAAATGGTTTGGTGACTGCATGCAAACTCTTCGACTTGGTTCTTTTTAAGTCATTTTTATAMGAACTTGTATGGCTACCTAATGACACTGATGAAAGACATTTATAGGGTTAAAAAAAACAGTGCATTATATATCATATGATGTCTTTAAAAAGATAGAATTTTGTGTTTTTTTTTAAAGATATTTATTCACTCTAGGACTCAAGAATGTTCAAAAATGTTTTCACCTAATTTTTGTTTGTTTGTTTGTTTTTTCCACCTTTTTTGGYATGTGCCCTTTCATTATTCAATGATTAAAAGTAAAGAACATTTTGTATACACCTAATGAAAATAATTTACATGTAGTTGGAGAGAGCTACAGTAAGAACAAGTCAAGTATGGAAATGATAGACCAATTCCACATTYGCTTRGATGAACACGAAACAATGGCTTCATTTCGASGCTGGAGTTTYMKMT